CGCGTGGATGATTTATGTTTGATGTCACAAAAAGTCGAAGACTTACAAGCGAAAACCGACAAACTGGTCGAAGAAGCAGGCAGTGAAGACAGGACTCCAGGTGAACATAGACAAGACGGAGGTTATGAAAATAACCAAACAACAACAACAAAAGCAGCAACATCCAGCGCCAATCACCATCAACGGGAGGGATTTGAAAGAGGTTACTTCATTCACTTACTTATCTAGGGAGCATTGTCTCAACTACAGGAGGAACGGACGAAGATGTCAAATCGAGAATCGGGAAGGCCAGAAACACATTCATCAACCTGAAACCAATCTGGAAATCTTCTTCACTCAACATCAACAACAAACTTTGGATTTTAAATACAAACGTCAAGTCAGTTCTTCTATACGGATCAGAAACTTGGCGAGTCGCCAAGAATATATCCAACAGGTTGCAGATACTTATCAACAACTCTCCGTTCTATACTGAAGATTAGACGGCTGGAAAGAATCAAAAACAAGAAGATATAAGAACAAACAAAACAGGAACCAATCGCTCAACAAATATGCAGGAGAAAGTGGAGATGGATTGGACACTCGCCGAGGAGGCCTCTGGGTGACATCGCGCGTCAGGCCCTCGAATGGAACCCGAAAGGGAAGCGGCTGAGTAACTACAGAGACCATGCTTTTGTTAAATAACGAAAAGGTAGTAAGGTGAGTGACACTGAGATGAAACAATGGAATATTTCTGTGCAAAACAGAAATTATAATAGGATACATTTGCAAAATCCAAGTGTACATATCATGAAGTAACTTCAGCTATGAATATGATTGATAAATTTTGAACAATATTTTGAAGAAAACGTCTTCGTGAGGGCTACTGTGACCTGACGACAGAACGATGAGATAATAAGTACTACCTAACGTACCTGTGAATTAACGTCAGCAAGAATTAAGTGGCACACTCTATTTAGTGACCACAAGAAATCGATATGTAGTTGTGACCCGCGTTTTGTTGGAGGCAACGCTTCAGGATGTCCTCTGAGTGAAATCTTGGTATGGGCTTAGCGTTAGTGATACCGGTTAACAAATTCTGTTATATCGATATCCGTGCTTGTCCAGTGGGGATAGTTTTGGTCGGTAGACGTCATATTCGCGCACCTGCATTTCTCAGTGAGTGATGATGTTCCTCTTGAGGCTTGAACCCACTACCCATAGTTTCAAACGCCAAAGCGTTATCCATTAGAGTGATTGGGCCACGAGAACCACCTCTTGTGCAACGGTCATATTGATTCAATTTAATTTTATATTTTACCGTCGATTGATTGGACCGAAGTGCTCCGTTTCAGGTTGACATGTCGGCTTCTTGAGCAGATGCTTCGATTATGTCTGGTAGACGGTATAACTGTTACTAAACTTTCATAAAATTTATCATGTTGAACAGACACATATTGATTTCAGTGGTCAAGCGATACTGGCTATCGGCATTTTTGTTCTGATCACCAAAAAGAGCAAGAAAAATGATAATTACAATGAACGATTGCTGTTAGCTAGGTACTGTTCATTCGAAATCTTCTTGTATCTTATTGTGAAGAAGATATTCACAGAATTCCGATCGAAAGTGGATGATCTATCGATGATCAGTGAATCGGATTGCACTTCATGCGATCGAGTATTTTATCCAACAGTGCATGAAGGCAGAATTCACACATGAACAAACTAATGAGAACATCGAACAGTCACTTGACTGATCGAAATTCGACAACTGTCAGATGTTCAGATAATATTGTAGAGAAGTCGAGAGCTAGTGAATAGGAAGGCTGAGATTGATGCAGCATACACAGTTAATAAGTGTCGATGAATGTGATTCTTTCGTTTCTGACTGTTACACAGAATGATACATATTTCATTCTGAAACATGACAGCGAAGCCATGGTTCATGTGAATACTCCTTTCTTCTGCTTGCTGCAATTGGTCTCCAATTCAGTGTCTTTGAATACTACACGAAATCAAGCAGTCTCTAATAGATCTGCATCACCTCAATGACAGTATTCTCGTGGACTAATACGAGTGCCTTAATTAATGCAGTATGATATATTTCATCCACATTGTATCGGTCTCATCTGACTCCTTGTCGCCTCCTTGAGATGACACACACTTATTACACCTAATTCCCCATATCTCTTGAGGAACAAACCACTTGATATATTAGCAACGAACGAAGAAATAGGAAGATATATGCTTAGGTTTCATGAGAAATGACTTGGATAGACAGATGGAATTTCAGTATTGAGGGGATGTTTGCAATGTGAATTGTCTTTCTGACCATAGGAAATAAGAAGAAAGAAGAGATGACGCGATACAGCTTGATATCAACAAATTATTTCCCCCCAGCAGAAACTGACACAGATATCAGGATATCATCTGACTGCTGAGAGATCATTGACCGTCTGACTGGAAGGCGAACAGTCAGACTGTGGTGCGTCATCTGCTCTGTCTGTCTAACTGTCCGTCTGTCAGTGATTTAGATGCGAATTGATATCTACGTGTGAGTAGGAAGTGCTTACGCTTACTGAGAGTTGATGATGGAAATAGAGGAAATCACGAGTAATTCATTAGTCATGTCGTCCTCGTGATTCGACATCCTAGTTTGTGGATTTTCTGAACGTGTGAGTTGAACACGTGTTTGTGAGTTTTTCACTCAATCAATTCAATGTGATTATCAATTTTCTTCCTCTCATCTGACTCAGCAACACTTCGAATTCACACGTCTAGAGCTTGCTAACGGAATTGTTATGTGACTTGCAATACAATGAATCCTGCACTATATCTATTTCCAGAGCGAATGGCTGGGCAAATGTGCAAATTCATGGTTCACCATTTCCACTAGTAGTCGTTATATTGAGTGGATATTTACTAGAGTGATGAGTTCTGCTTCAATCCTACATATCGTTAATCACTGTTATGGGTAGACATTAGATTCTCTCATTCAGTTCACATAGATCATGATTCTGCTCGCAACAATTATCTATCAGATGTGATGGTTGATTATCGCAAATGCCTAACAATAATAATGAAGAGTGGTAGTGGAGAGGGTTTGCATGAATTATGTGTGTTTCAGTATATGCTGCCGTTAGAAACTGCAAGGGAGATGGGTGAAAGTCCTCTTTGCATTCTCTTGTGGCTTTGCTGTCGAATGACAGCCACGTATGTGATTATGTTGGTTCAGTGGCATTTTGACTGATTTAGCGGGATGTTCGCATTGGTATTGAACTGGTCAGTGACAGTAAGAGTGAGTGTGCATTTTCTTGTAGGCTGCATTATTTGACAAGTTATTGGACAGCGAATGATTTCACATTATTTCACCTCATTTGATTGGAATCCGCTTATTTGGATATTCAGTAATCTGCAAGAAGTAATGAAGTGCGAGGCAGGATTTCCTGCATATACGAAAATCAACAGGCAACAAGCATCTTCACCCAGTAATGTTATGTCTTGTGATAAGTGAGTTGAACATGCCTTATACAGCTTTCAATGGTAAGTTGTACGTAACGAAATGCAGTATACAATTATTTGTGTTATGAAGACAGTTTCTTCCAAATTGAGTGTTATGATTACATTTTGCATGATAACACTTTTGTATGCAACTTTTTTTTGAGTATTAGTAACTTGAGTTTACATGGCTGTTTCACTGTTGACCAATTCATGATTGTGTCATGAAGATTCGAGAATAGTCCTTTTGTCCTATCCAGTGCTGCATGTCTATTTACGTCCATCCATCCCATAATAATAGTATAACGATTATAAATCATAAAAATGAAAATGAAAGTGAATTCAAGTAAAGTATCTCTGAAAATGTCCAAGTCGACTGATTTTCGCATAAAACATGGTGCTTTGTGTTCATGTATACGCCATTTGATTGAAATTATCTCAACCAGAATGGAAAGTTTTAACTTTAAGATGTATAGCTGCATCAATCACTGGTGGTCTACAAAACCTGTCTTTGCTTTGCTGTTCTTTACTCAGAAATGTATGCTATATATTTAATTTAACTCAAAAACCAGATGAAATGCAAACCAGGGTTAATTTCATTTCAAGTATTATAGCTGGACTTGGCTTAATTCGATTGATCTCCTCTACTTGTCAGGGTTATTTTCTCGGTGTTTCGGGTGAAAAGTTAACCAGACGTTTACGTGAGAATCTGTTCGCATCTATGTTGAAACAGGAAGTAGCATGACATGACCAACCAGAGCATAGTCCAGGTATTCTATTGGTTCGTCTAACAACAGATGCAAATAAAGTGAATACACTTTGTGGTGTATCATTGGGTCGATTAATTGAGTCCATTGTACTAGTGTGATTGCTTCATTAACTATCGGTTTCGTCTATAATTGGAAATTGACTTTAGTTGTGTTAGTTTTCTTCCCAGTGATTATGTTATGTGCATCGGTGGCACAGTGGTTAGGACGCTCACCGACCATGCACATATTGCGGGGTTCGATCCTCTGCCGATGCACATTTGATATCAATGGTTGGCCTGCAAAATTTGGGCTACCAGTGGTATCACATGCTGAAAATTCCATACTTCTACCAAAAAGTACAGTGTGGAATCAAGCTATAATCAAAAACAATTTACAGCTTCGTCAAATTCGTAAAAGTTCTTAAGGCAATAAAGCGACTGCAGCAGTTCTTATCATTATTATCATTATTTATGAAGCTCTTAGTTCAACAAGAACAATGTACGCTTATAATTTCGAAGATTACTTTTATAAACAGCATTGTTCTATACTCAATTCGGAAATGACAGCTGGTAATCGTAGCTTCATAGTTTTATTCATTTGTCTATGCATTGGCTCAATCATTACCAATATGTGCATACGCAGCTGCATTTTCATGTGGAACTTATCTAATGAGTATTGAAGAGATCACTTTGATGGCAATATTCATGGTCTCCGCTGCTATCAGTTTCGCAGCTCAAGCACTTGGTAGAAAGAACATCACATATTGGCCCAGAAATGAAACATGCCTCATTGGCAGCTGATCGAATTTTTAAACTTTTAGATCGAAAGTCTAAAATACCTGTCAGTGAAGGTGGTTTGTTTATACCTTGATCAACTTTTAAATAGTTTACCTATAGAATTTAGACAAGCCTCATTTCGTTATCCATCTCGGCCAGAATCTTGTATTTTAAAGAACTTCTCACATACATTTGAACCTGGTCGAAAGACAGCTATGGTAGGACTTTCAGGATCTGGTAAGACCAGTATACTAAGTTTAATTCAATGGCTTTATGACAATGGAAATGTAGTATATTTTTCAATGGTATTAATCGTCGAGTAATTTTATGGAAATGGATTCGTCAACAAATTGGTGTTGTCAGTCAAGAACCACAATTATTTAATATTTCTATTATGGGAAATATTGCTTATGGGAATAAGGCGAATAATGCTATAACAATGGATGAAATAATAACCAATGCAGCACGTCGTGCAAATATTCATGAATTCATCACGAGTCTTCCAGAGGGTTACAATACGCTAGCTGGTCCCCGTGGAGCACATATACCCACTGGCCAACGACAAAGATGGAAGGAAGCACAACATTTGATTGAATTGTTCTGGCATAGATGGCTACGTGAATATCATCCGATGCTGCAAACAAGATCTAAATTGTTGAATATAAAGCGTAACCTACAACCTGGTGATCTCGTCCTAGTTAACAATCCTGACACACCGAGAGGTCTCTGGCGAAAGGCTATAGTTAAGCAGGTGTACTATGACCAAGATGGCCGCGTCAAGACGGTGTGGGTGAAAACTGCAACTCAAGAAGTCAAACGAGGTATAAGAAGCGTATGTTAGTTGGAAGAAGCAGACAACTTTATGGTTCCAGGTAAAAGAAGTCAACGTGGTGATCGTTCGCGGGGAGTGTTAATCGCGACAGGTAGATATACTGTATGATAGACAGCCAATCAATATGATGTGACCTTGAGTGTTCTTTGTTTTCTGTCACTTTATTTGTGTGTACATGTATTTAATTACCTGTTCATTTAGTCCGTTCCCTCAATACTGTTCGGTACGTTTTTCTCTTTTCTTGAGTGACAGGGGATTTATACATTTTTCCTGGTGTAATTGTATGATTTATTTTATGTTTTAGAAACAGATAAAGTCAAGTCACTCTGTTTTTAAATATAGTTAAGGGAAAACTCTGTATTGTCAGTACTGAGCGTGAGTACTGATGTGTAGGCAAAACTAATCCTAGAGGCCCTTATGCGACTTGTTCCAACACCTAATGGAGTCGGGGAAACTGTCAAGGGAGTGGAAAAGAGCCATCCTTTCTCCGATCTTCAAGCGTGAAGGTGGTCAAACTGCCACTAGTTATAGACCAGTAGCTCTACTCCCAGTCGTATTGATACACATTTATATATATATATATATATATATATATATATATGTATACATATATCAACTTCAAACTTAATCAGCTGACTGTTGTTACGTGTCTTTTATTTCTTTATCTGTATGATGGTCTGAATAACTTCACTAATTATATCTACTATCATTATTATGATCTCCATTCTTTTGACGACGATACCAGAGGACTAACTGATGAAAGGATCAATTCCATTCACAGTAGTAACAGTCTTAACACACCTCATTCCACAAACCAAATATAATTAATCGCAGCACTACTCCTTTTGGAGTCAACCAAAGCTACGACAGTCGAGTGGGGTGGGACGAGCTACTCAGAGGTTTACTGAAGATCAGGAACCTATACCTCACAATCAAGAGGCGAGCACAAAGAAATCGAATTGGTTTATACTAGCTCGTCAAAACCATATTGGATATATTGGATTCGAATTACACAAATCAGACAATTATTGTATGCTGGATTTGTGTTGTAATTATCTTTTACGATATTAATTCTTGGTTTAGTCATTACTTCAGTTTCCGTTTTTAGACATCCTACTGTTTATTTTCGGTTTTTTAATCTAGAAATTCAGATATCTTCCAAAATGTTTCGAGTTACCAAAGCCTCTCACAATCAAAGTTTACCTGTTTATCCTATGGATGAGTTGGTAAAAGCACGTAGTGAGTTTAGATATCGGTGGAGAAGACGAATGACCGAAAATCCCTTGGCCAGATTAATCATTACTGATCATTACAGATATCCGCCTAATATAATCTTGAAAAACTGGGAGAAATATCCGTTTGATGAGACTGGTGATGAGTCAGACAAGCGTCAGTTCCTTTCAACTATGAGTGATAAAATGAGAAATAGAATAATAATGTTGAAGTCACAAGCTCATATACCTTCTGAAATTTATGATAATATGATATCTGAGGAAGATTTTCAGCATGTTTGTTCACTACTATCAAATGAGGTGTGCATCACAGAGAACTATTTTCAATCGATAAGTCAAAATCAATGCATTTCAGCATGTTATTTTATATGTGATAATTGTGATTTTCTTGGGACCAATGAAGACGCAGTGGAACACTTGAAACAAACAAGTCATTCAACCTGTAGTAAATACACACCAATTTATTATGTCGATAACTCTGATACTGCAAAACCTTGTGAACTGAAAGAACCACGGGTCATCACTTATCAACCTGATAGGATTTATGGTTGGAGTATTGGTGATTCAGTGATATGTTGTCCTACGTGCAAATTGACATTCCCAGATAAGGTGAGATTTGTTTATTGTAATGAAAATTCAGTTACCATGATATTGAGGGGTTAATCACACTCTCTTTCTGTATGCATGCATAAGTCTGGTTTAAACCGTTTGATTGCGATCGCTTCGGCAAATCGTCGTAGTAAATTTGCTGTCCTTTGTCTATTTAATATTTTGAAGGACTTAGAAATCTCTACGAGATGTCCGGTCTCAACAAACAATATGTCTGTTAATTGCACTCTTAGAATATTTGCTTCCTTTCAGCCAGGCACAGGTTTCTTGGAATATGTTGTTCAGAAAAGCGGATAGAAGCCCTTCTTTCTGTCCTTCCAATGTACTTGCTCCCGCAAGTGCAGACAGCTGATTAAATTTGAAGTTGATATGTATATATATATATATATATATATGAATATTTGCATATGTATATGTTTACATATATATATATATATATATGTATACATATATAGGTGCGTCGTTGGCACAGTGGTTAGGACTCTCGCCGACCATGCACATGGTCCGGGGTTCGATCCCCTGCCGGCGCACACCCGATATCTATGGTCGGCCTGAATTTGGGCTACCGATATCCATGCTGAAAATTCCACACTTGTACTGAAAATACGGTGTGGAATCAAGCTGTAAATCAAAATAAATAATAACTGTAATATTGATAAGCGTAGTTAAAGTTGTGAGGAAAGTGAGACATGAGAGAATGTAAAGGAGTAAAACGACGAACTTATTTGTCTACCTCTGAATGGTGTATGGGATTTTAACGGGACTAGGCAATGTGGACGTACTCCTTGTGTCGCTGCATTATTGTCCAGCCTTCACCTAAAGGCGTCCACAGACAGTGCCGTAGCTACATCTTCGGGACTTTGAAAACCAGTGGTTGGAAACAATTGTTGACATGGCTCAAAATCGTTCTTAGTATCGCAGGTGCATCCACTCCTTGTGACTAATGATTTCCAATAAAACTGTTTTGTTCTTTGTTATTACTATTTCTTTGTCTCACACCTCTGTTTACTGTCTCTTATATGCATTTCTTCTCTTGCTGTGTGTGCTACATGGAGGGAGTGTGGCGACCTGAAGTGCCGCCTAAATGTGCAAAGTTCTATGTCGAAAATAGACAGACAAACAGAAGTCATAACTCCTTGACACGGGATATACAATGCAAAGGAACAATGAAGAATTGATTTGTGTGTACATATTTTGATTAACTTACCGTTTATATCAAGTAATAATACACGAAAAATGAAATGAGATTAGTTTTGAAGCACAGGAAATGTATTGATGCACTTTGATTAATGTCCGGACGATGAGTTGTAGAGGATAGTAAAGGAAGAACAAGAATCTAGTTAATAACTGGGGTTATTTCAAGATAGCACTAGAAAATAGAATTCTTAAATGCCAAGTCCTATGAAGGAGCTTACTTCAATGTCTTCTTGTCGTTCTGATATTGCTTATATTGTCTGGAACAACAACAAGGCCCAGTAATGTGGCGATTATATGTAGTTGGTTGGGTTAAGAATGACGTTGTGAGTTTTTGCCAACTAGGATTGTCGAGACCTGTTTTGTGCATACAGAAGTGCTACTCTCCTGGTAAAATTAAGTTATCCGGTTAGTGATCGGGTTGGAGGGTAAATCCGAGGGTAATCAGACTACAAAATAGCAGATATTCATGATAATCAGATTCATGTAGAGGTAGGTATAGGTTATCAAAATGGGGTGCTTTAGGTGGTATTGGAAATTACGAGTTTGCATATACTCGATGAAATCGCTTTAATTTACAGTGATGCATACATATCCGCTATTCATCATGGAGACAGACCCTGAATATATTCAGTAAGTTATTTTACCTTCCACACGTTTGTTTATTAGTGTGATTAAGTGTATATATGTGTGTGTTCTGTTCTTTATATGCTTTCTCGCCCCCGGCTGTAATATCTTCTTCAGTCGATGCACAGTTATGCACGAGTTTTCCGACCGATTATAGATTTATTCAAAGTGTACCATTTTAAGGTGACTGAGTAGTAGTGAGACGCAACATAATCTTCTGATTTGAGTTAACTTGACGTTGACATCTGATTGTTAATAAGGACTATTTATATATGTAAGGGAGGTCGCTGTAGCGATTACCATATCACAATATACCAGGCTTACTGAACTTAATGAGCCCAACTTAATCACTTAATCAGCAATGCTGCTACCTGTCTCATACGCACTGACAACTAGGCGAAAATCAAAAGACACAGTTATTTAGCGGGATGCTCTACTGAACAATATACTTAAGCGGAATATATATGTTAAGATTATTAAGGCGAAGTGGGGGGGGCGTGGCGGAAGATTTAAGGACTTATCTGGCTAATATGGCTAAGTAAGCTAAGGACTCCAAGAAATGCATGAGTTACCAGCACAGAGTGGAAGCGCACCCAAACAAGAAAAAATATGGCGTAGCGTCATCGTACATGTATGAGTTAAAACAAAAACTCAAAACATTCAAGATATTAATTTCATTGTTCCCTTGGATTCCTGCACTGGCTTCTGCCTTCACTTGCATCCATGTTAGTCCATACTGTGTCAACTCTTCTTCACACGATCTCCTCCATGTCACCCTTGGACGTCGTACTCGCCGCTTCCCTTTCGGGTTCCACTCGAGCTATGGCTTGACACGTGATGTCACCCAGCGGCCTCCTTAGTGAGTGTCCAATCCATCTCCACTTTCTCATGCATATTTGTTGAGCGATTGGTTCTTGTTTTGTTTGTTCCCACATTCTCTTGTTGTTGATTCTTTCCGGCCATCTGATCTTGAGTATAGAACGAAGACAGCTGTTGGTAAAGGTCTGCAACAGGCTGCTGAGAATATTCTTTGTGACCCGTCGTCAAGTTTCTGATCCATCCGTTTAGAAGAACTGACTGACTTGACGTCGTTTGTATTGCAAATCCGAATTTGTTGATGCTGAGTAAGAGCGTAAGATTTTCAGATTGGTTTCGTGTGGATGAATGTGTTTCTCGCCTTCCCGATTCTCGATTTGACATCCTCGTCCGTTCCTTCTGTAGTAGTTGAGACAATGCTCCCTAGATAAGTAAGTGAATGAAGTAACCTCTTTCAAATCCCTCCCGTCGATGGTGATTGGCGGTGGATGTTGCTGTTGTTGTTGGTTATTTTCATAACCTATGTCTTGTCTATGTTCACCTGGATTCCTGTCTTCACTGCCTGCTTCTTCGACCAGTTTGTCGGTTTTCGCCTGTAAGTCCTCGATTTTGTGTGACATCAAACATAAATCATCCACACGCGAAGTCTAGGTCTTCTAGGTTCTTCACGTCGGTGGTCCAGGATATCCCTGTCTTCTCGTATCCCACTGTCTGACGCATAATCCAGTTCACCACAATTAGGAATATCATTGGTGATCATAAGCACCCTTGTTTGACTCCTGTGTTTACTCGAAACGCCTTGCTGAGTTTTCCGTTGTGGATCACTTGACATGTTCCGTTGTCGTACAGCTGTTGAATAAGGTTGATGAATATTTGCGGTACGCCGTAGTACTCGAGTAGTTTCCAAATTACTTCGCGGTCAACGCTGTCGAAGGCCTTCTCAAAGTCTATAAAGTTGAGGTAGAGGTTTGATTGGCATTCCATGCTTTGTTCGATGATAATGCGTAGAGTTGCAATTTGGTCAGAACATGATTTGCCTTTCCAAAACATTCAAGGTTCGCTACATATATATATGTACATTTCTTCATCATTGTGAATTATTTAGAAGGAGGATGTCAGCGAATCCACAACCCATCATTCTTAATACCACCTTACGAAGAATAAACTGTTAATCATGGTATAATAAAGGTGTGGAATAAGAAATTTAAAAATGTACAGGTGTTTTTTGATTGCCAATCAAACGATTGCTGTCACAACTGTAGTGTCTGCCTTGAACTTTGCGTTTCCACACTTCATCATATTATTCATCGTGTAATTTTGTTTGATTTTTATGCATAAAGTATCATTGAATGCGTAATTCAAAAAAAAATACATACATATATATTTTGAATAATTTCATTCTGTTTTTAAATTGGTTTTTTAGTTAATGTGTGCCTATCACCATGAATTGCAACATCCTCAAGGTGAACCGCTTTACACCTATGGGAAGGTTTTGATTGTACGAGGGCTGACCATTCATCGCTCACTAATATGCTCAAATTGTCAAATTGGATTTTCTACAATCGAAGGCTTTACACAACATTGTATAGACTCTACACAATGTGATTCATCCTTTTTTTCCTCTTTATTATTCCACTGTCAAACGTCGTTACCGAGTTCACATTCTGTCATCATTTTATCTGTATTGTGCAAATTTTGTGAGCGTAGTTTTTCTACAGTCTTAACACCTGAGGCTTGGTTCACTGCTCAATCGACTAGCAGTAGTAGAAAGCGTAAACATCCACCAGAACAACAACAAGAAGAAGAATGGAACACTGAGAATTACTCTAAAACGGATTATCAATCATCATCATCTTCATCAGTTTCTTGTGCCAAAGACTTTTCTCGTTTCTGTCTAAGTCATGCTTTTCAGCATATTGATCGAGAAAATCTTCAATCTTGTCATCTAAGCCTACGTGTTATCGATATTTCAAAGTCTGTTGAATGTCGTCGTCTACCGCCTATTCATGGAATAAGTCATTCAACGACGACTGTATTACTTTTTTCTCTATACGAATGTAAACGTCTTGTTTTATATCTTAAAAAGTATTATGGAGGTTCATTCTATTTGTTGAAAGATGCTGAAAAGCATTTAAAAGATTTACTTGCACAGGCTGCATTGATTCTCTCTCCTTATTTTCTCTATAATAATATTTTTTCCTAACTTTTTTGTTTACTACGTTTAAGCATTTCTGTATATATGCGTATATTATATTATAACATTTGTATATATTATATCTCCATTATGGATAACATTTCACTCATGTATATAAATGAAGGGAAAAAGTCGTGTGTGTAAGTAGTGCCTTGATATGATTATGAGCAGTATTAATTTGTGCTCGAAGCGTGTGGTCATCAGTTAATATTACTGTATTATAACACTCCACTGTGTGACAGTTTATCAAAATAAAACCTTATCCATAATGGAGTTATACTCTACCACCACAGTGCCGAAGTTTTATACTTATATCAATAATTTGTGTTATGTATATATATATATATTTTTCTAATGTCTCTCAGTATTTTTCCATTAGCAGTATACTAACTTTTAGGTTTTGTTGATGATTATGAACCCGACCAATAGCTGCCACCTTGACACGTGGTGGTGGTCGGGCTTGCACACTGCAATGACCCAACAAGCTACACTGGCTGGAACTATTGTTCCTGCAAGTCCTACCATGTCAGGAAGGTTTTTAGGATGGCGATTAGACTGAAAGCAGTTACCAGCATAGTGTGAGAATCTTTTTACACTCTGCTGGGGGTCTGTGGGCAGACAGGGATGTAACAGCAGTGAGGTGTTTCCCTCAGACGACCAGCACGCCAGCCAGCTATGCTGTCTCTCTATTCTGGAGAGAAGGGGTTAGAAAAGGTCGACCCCAAAAATTGTACGTTCAGATATAGTTGTTTTAGCGACTTCAATATCGAAGTAGGGACGTTGTGACAGACTGAGAAGTATATAGGTGGTACGTATGGAATTCCATGCCGACGAACTGACAACGGTGATTGTCTTCTTCTACAATTCTGTTCAGATAATCATCTGTTTCTAGTCAGCACTAACTTTAGGCACAAAGAGAGACATTGCGTAATCTAGCAACCTCCATCACCAAATCAACGTTGGACTCAGATAGACCACGAAGCGATAGGGTATCGTTGTCGAGGGTCAGTAGAAGACTGACCCGCCGCTCCTTTTGGAACACGTGCGTAGACTCCGATTGCGCTGTGGTCCGCGCAAGCTTATGGTTACGTCTGAACGGACATAAATTGTTGACAGCGAAGCAGTTACTTCCCCCCCCCCCCAACTAGGTCGAGGCACTGAGTCTCTATTTAAGGAAGAAAAGGCGAAAGTAGTATCTTAGGTCGACAGCAGGACTCCTCCTGACGAAGCCTGGCACAACATGCGGTTAGCTGTAGAAGCTGTTAATAACCTGAAACCTGAAGTTAGTAAGAGCCACTGGATTTCTACCAGCTCATCCGAACTGATTGACGCAAGAAGACTGATTCCGTCGAGCTTCGATTATGATGAGGAGTGAAAGCTGCTCAAACGCTCAAACAAGAAGTCTCCTTAACGACCGTGAACAATGGTGGGCGAAAGAGGTGGAAAAGGCATCGGCGATTGGTAAAACCAAACAACTATTTAGGCTTATCAGGGAAACAAGTGGCAGAAGACAAATGATAGGTGAAACAGTCTCTGAGTAAAATGGCACCATAATTAGCTCTCAGGATAGACGACTGGAACGCTGGAAAGAAAACTTTGAGGAGCATTTCAGTTGGTCTACAGCTACGCTCAACCTGACGAACATCCAACACCTCGCTGAATGGAATATAGACACAAGTCCTCCGTCCCTAACTGAGGTTACTAAAGCTGTCACTAGTCTGAAAGAAAGCAAAGCAGCAAGACCTGATAGAAAGACTCCAGCGGTATGTAAATACGGTGGAGACAGTTTACTGTCTGGGTTAAATAGGGGATAAGGCAACGTCTGGGAATCAGAGGAAGTCCCGTCGAGTTGGTGTAAGTCACTGATTATCCCGATATACAAGAAGGGAGACGAGTCTTGCTGTGATAATCACAGGGGATTAGCTTGACTAATATGGTATCTAAAGTCCTAGGCTCAATAATCATGCGTAGACTAAGTGGTGCTCAAGAGGCAAAAACACGAGAGAACTAGGCAGGCTTTAGACCATGAAGAGGGTGTATTGACCATATATTCACCCTTTAACCGATTCTGGAACGTGGGCATTCTTATCGGCGTCCATCAATTGTCATATTTCTTGACCTAAAGGAGGTATTCGATTCTGTCAACCGAGTGGTACTATGGTGATGATTGGTTGTGAAAGGAATGCCGAGACAATACATTGCAGTGATTAAGGCACTCTACTCGAACTCATGCAGCCAGCCAGATAAGGGCTTACGGCGAGTTGTCATCTGAAGTGGTGTCCATCAGAGAATAACTTAGTTTTCGACGATTCATTTTCATGAGCTGTACAATCGTAATTATATTAAACAAAGAAATCTTTAGACCAATCAGATAGATAGTGGTACACTTTGTCCTCGAAATATGTATTACATAACGTAAGGTGTATGATTGGACAGGAGGGGATGACTAATTGTAAGTTAGAAAAGAGGCAGAAGTAGGCATGACGTAATAAGTGTGAGATAATGACTAATCCATAAGCTCGTGTAGAATGGATTGGAACTAGTGGAAAGGCTATAAAGTGTTTTTGTATAAAATATGTGTGAAAAGCAATGTTATTAGTAAACAGTAATATAGTGGTAATAAAATGTCTATGATAGGAATAATAATGATAATAAAAAAGTATTATTAAAATAAAATAATAATAGTGAACTTACATAATAAAAGAAGGAAGAGAAATTATAGTAAGGACTTTACTCTGGCCATGGTAAGGCGAGAGAATGTTTGTATCGCTTTTGAATGCAGAGTTCCAGTTTCAGATGTCGAATAGCTAATACTTCAGCTATGTACAGATGGCGTATCCAAAGTCCATTTGTACGATATTGAGGGACTCTGTGCATCACTGTGAAGCATTCATGCAAGTGGGGGTGCTCGATGTCCGGAGATGACAAGGTGTTCGAGGGTAGAGCTGCTGTTTTTCTCCTCTGGCTGGCTAACCAAGCTGGACAGTGTTCCAGAATACGTTTGTGGACTTGACGTTGCGTACGGCCGATATACTTTGCTCCATACGATCAAGTAAATTGATAAATACACATTGAAGTGGCCAAAAGCGGTATCTTGTCCTTAGCGTTAGACTGGATTAAATTTCTGCAGGAGAATGTGATACGTAGAGTGGCTGTTGGAAATGTCGTCTTCAGACATTTAGAAAGGCGGTTTCTGAGAATCTCCGCTGCGATGTCACCTTTGAATTATAGGTTCATGAAGAGAGTCTTCTTAGGAACCGTTGCGATGTTTGACACCAGATGCTTTTCTCCTTTATGTTTTTGTCGATAAATCTTGGTGGGTACTCGTTCTCTAGTAGGGTTTCACGTAATAAATTTAATTATTTCTCTACCATGTCTTCCGAGCAGATTTTTCTAATCCTTGAACATAATGTACGTGCCAGGTTTCGCTTTCGGATCAGTGGGACAAAGCTCTGGAAGTTGATAAACTGTCCAGTCCATATTGGCTTGCGATATATCGATCTTTGGATCGTACAGTTGTGTCTTCTCGTGAGTAGTAAGTACATCGAGGAATGGAAATGCGTTGTTAGATTAGCGTTTTAAGGTGAATCTTATTGATGGGTACACTACATTGAAGGTTTTCAGGAGAGAATCTAAATCAGATTTTTCATCACAGATAATGAATGTATCATCTGCGTATCTCCTGTATAAGTACAGTTGACTTATCAAGGGATCGAGGATGTTGCTTTCGAGACTCACCATGAAGCAGTCGGCTAGGAGTGGACCGAGGAGAGACCCCATGGCTACCACATCCATCTTTCTGTACATAGAACTGTTCATTAAACTTGAACTGGATATTGAACGTACATCTGAGAAGGAGTTCCTTCAAGTAGTTTATGGAAAGAGGAACTTCTGTGTTGTTAGTTTCGATGTAATTACAAATGAAGCATATTGTTTCGGTAAGAGGGATGCTTGCGACATCTAGCGAGAGCATTTGTCTTTCGAACACGTTGACATCCTTCACTGGGTCGATGAAGTCAAATGTATCTATCTCTGAGGCTATATTTTGTCATATGCCTTTTTACTGGTTCAAGGATATCACCTAGCCACTTCGCGATTTGATGATATGGTGAGTTAACCATGTTTATTACAGGTCGCCGTGGGACATTCTCCTTGTGCACTTTAGGCAGTCCATATATGGTGATTGCATTCTGAAGCTTTCTGTACATCGAGTCGTCAATAAATAATTTTGTTGCCAAATACTTATGTATTGGTTTTTGTAGGGATTTTGTTTGATTGCATGGAGGATTTCATCATGAGCTGACATCAGTTAGAGAACCACTGGAAAACCTGCAGGGAGTACTGGAGAGCTGTTTCCTTTGTCCTAGTTTGGGACTCTTCATCAGTACGCACCCACAACAGGGGTTCGAACCCAGAACCTTCTGGTTACAAGGCGAGCTCGTGGACAATCTAGACACTGGGATCCGATCCAATGGTCCTTGATCTGATGCTCACTAGCGACTGGCCCTATTCAGGCAGTTAACCTGGGGTTCTAGTGGGAAGCCGTGACCAGTAGGGTACAGCAGGTTGAAGATGATGCAGTAACTCATCGAAGAAGACATTGCGAAATGGTCGCGCTATGTCGTGAATTGGCAGAAGTTAGAATTCAAGCACCATTGGATCGGGTCTCAGTGTCTAGATGGTCTACGATGGTCGCCTTGTAACCAGAGGGTCCTGGGTTCGATCAACGGTGGGTGCGTACTGATGAAGAGCCCCAAACTAGGACAACGGAAACAGCTGTCCAGTACTCCCTGCAGGTTTTCCAGTGGTTCTCTAACTGATGTCAGCTCACGATGAAATCCTCCATGCAACGTTGTTATTAGTCTGCGACCAGTATTTACTCCAGGAATGATTGTTCTCTGACAGCACAACATAAATTCATTAGAGAGTTTGATAAGACATGGATATTCCGGTTCGTCTGTTCCTTGCATTTTTTTCAAAGGCACCTGAAACTATCCTATACACTGTCGTCATCCTTAAAATAGCTCATGTAA